GACTGTTGAAGTTGAACAAAGCCGCGGGACCAGATGATCTTCCTCCAGCCCTCATCAAATTTGGAGGCTTTGCTCTTGTTGATGCTTTGCATGAATTACTAGTGAAACTGTGGGAGCAGGAAACTGTCCCAACCGACTGGAGCCGCTCCGTTATTGTTCCCATCTTCAAAGGCGGCTCGCGCTCGGAATGCGACAACCATAGAGGAATCAGTCTGATCTCCATCGCCTCCAAATTACTCGCGTCCATAATTCTTCACAGACTGATTGGCGCTCGTGAAAGTCCGATTCGGGAGGAGCAAGCCGGGTTTTGTCGGGGTCGTGGCTGCATCGACCACATCTTCACCTTGCGTCAGTTGTTGGAGCACCGTCACACATATTGGCGGCCCACCGTAGTCGTGTTCCTCGACATCAAAGGTGCCTTCGCTTCGGATGATCGATGTGCCCTTTGGAATTGTCTACTCAGGAAAGGTGTGCCCGCGAAATATGTAAATATTATCCAAGCATTATATGCGCGTAGCACGGGCAGAGTGAAGGCTTACGGCAAGCTGTCGCCACCGTTCAATATCTCCAGCGGTGTGAGACAAGGATGCCCGCTGTCACCTTTCCTCTTCAACTTCGCTATTGACGAAGTCATGGAGATTGCATTTACAGGACCTGACTTGGAATGTGTAGAGCTACTACCAGGTGAACGACTTCTTGACTTCGAGTATGCAGACGATATTGCCTTAATCTGTGACAGCTCCCAGTCTTGCCAAGCGGCGCTGCACAGATTAGCACTGCCTGTCAGCCGCTTCGAGCTATGCTTTGCATCCTCCAAATGCAAAGCATTCCTCCAAGCTTGACAGCGATCGCCCGCTGTGCTGACCCTTGGTGGGGATCAGCTTAAAGTCGTGCGGTAATGCAACTACCTGGGAAGTTGTATCAGCGCCCTTGGGATCGAAGACGAGATCACGAACCGTTAAGCGTGAGCTCGAATTGCTTATGCTAACCTTCGCCACCTATGGGGGCGGCGCGACATTACTCTCGCCCTGAAGGGTAGAGTGTACAATGCAGCGGTTCGTTCGACCCTATTGTACGGTTGCAAAACCTGGCCCCTAACATGGGCGGACACAAAGAGGCTAGTTACGTTCGACCATCGGTGCCTTCGCAGTTTGGCTCACATCTGGTGGGAACACCGCGTGAGTAACCAGCGTGTTCTATTCCTGTTTTACGGCCCAGGGAAAAGGAATGAACCGCTGAGCACCGTTATTTCCCGCACCAGGCTCCGATGGCTCGGCCACGTGTTGCGCATGCCAGCCCACCGACTCCCTCGACGTGCGTCGTTTGCTCACCGGGGATGTGGATGGAAGAAGAAGAGGGGTGGCCAGGCGATGACTTGGTCCAGTAGAATGAAGTCCCTCACTTCGCAGCTAGCCTCGTTTGGAGTTTCACGGCTCCCTGGTTGGTGCCCAAAATACGGTGAACACATTTGGCAAGATACACTTGCTGATATGGCTAGGAAGCCGACCTCAATGGCGTTCCTGCTGTGATTTTCTTTGTCCCTCCCCATCCCTTTTAGTCTCCCTCCTCCAACTACGAGCTCATTTCGTAGGGTAACATATAATAACTTTTTTGCCCAGTAGCTGGATTGTAGCTTACCGGAACGATGCCTATCCATTGCTGGTAGCTCAGCTGGCATGTAACTGTCGTATTTATTTTTCCTTTATGTATTTTATGTATGTATGTATTTCCTTTATGTATTGCGATACAATCGCGGAGGCTTTTCACTACCTCTAGCTGACGTGTATAATGATGATGATGATGTTGATATTCGTTCCAAAATATGCTCTTGTTTAACACTACCGGCACATACTGTGCGGCACCAATGCGCGCCTGAATAAAAGCCGAGGCGTTCTCTCTGCTGTCAGTCCGTCCAATCGACATGACCGCAAGTGTTCATACGACTGCCCGCAAGCACAGCGTCACACTCGTTACTCTTCCCTTTAGTGTGGCCGCAGACTGGACCCCTAAGTGGACCGTATGATACGCAGCGAATGCATGTGGTCCAAACCACACCAGAAGTTTACTCGGCTGCGAATGCGGATGAACAGATAAACTGCCAACTGAAGGGATCGATAGTACTGGTTCACCAGCCGTTTCTTTGTCGTACTATCGTTGAGCAGCCTGGCGATGGGTACGATGCTCTCTTACTGAGCCATTGTGGCAGCTCGTAATACACAGCGCACCAGCTGAGACGGAATTAGCAACGCGTGCATGTGCGTTTGGCCTATCGCACACGCCATGGGGTAGACGCCGCACACTCAGCGTAGGGAAGAAAGGGCACGCGCTAGGCTGTGTTATTAACATCAGTTCTGCGGTTTGCTAACGCAGCCGTAGAGAATTCCAGGGGGCAGTTGGAGGAAAAAGGTATTTAGGGGGGCGCAGGAGGCATGCTCTGATGTGGGTTGCCATAACAAGAGTAACTACATTCATCCACAATTTATTCTGAGTTTATCTCCAGGCCTTAATCTCTCCTGTGGGTTTATTTAGTTTAGAGCAATCGCACAAGCTGCGGAGAACTTCACCCGACGCATGCAGCGTCATGTGTACAAGGATGAGCTAGTACTTATGGAAGAAAGAGCAGAGAAAGAGTGATGGCACAAAGAGGTCATGAAGAAGAGCCCGTTGAGACTCTGATGCCCTGGGTTGCGTAACGGTTTGTTTTGTGTTGTCAGCAGGTTATCATGTTACGCGTTGGAATGTTGCGCGAAGTCGACCATTATTATACCCGAGCTGCTTGTCAATTACTACCTTGATTGGTGGCCATGCAGGAGTTGCGCAATTACTATCCAGTATTCTGGGAAAGCACTTGATTGTTCTCGGAGCAGCAACTGTGAAACTAATGTTTGTATAGCCACAACATCACTCCCGAGGAGAGATATGTTGTCCGCATGTTCACGGTTTCTTAGTCAGTCACGCAGCAGAGTATTTACTTCGGAAATGTTTGGTATTAAAAAGGCGCTCATAGTTATTTTGTTCACAAAGTGAATATATGATGGGGATAAATGTAGAAAGAGGTGAAATCCACATTTCATGTGGAGCTTAGGAGACAGATTTCCGTAGTCTCTTATCTAACCTCATGAATCAAGGTAAATAATTTCAGAAGAAAGCTAGGTTTAGCTGAGACTTACAGGGATCTGCAGTGACACAATCTGCTACGATAGAAGGATTCAAATGTGTATTTGTGCTTAAGAAGATAAGGAGTCAATCACTTTTACGGGAAGTTGATGCATTAAGCAAAGCGATAGTCTCTTTATGGTTCTGCTGGGATCCTGCACAGCGATCAAGACAGACCTTCAAGCATCTAACGCAAAGTTGCTCTACCGACGAGATCCACGAAATTTAGCGATCCATTCTCCTGCGCTGCAAGTTCGTGCGGTTACGACGCTACCTAAGCACATAAACTGGCTGCTAAGCTATGTTTATATCGGATCTATGATCCCAGTGAATATAAATCTAAATCTTGTGCTCCAAGGGATTTAAACCGTTTAATGTCATCTATCGCACAGAACGCGTATTCATTATGCTATTACACGGAGAACGCGGAGCTGCTAGCACTGTTTGATTTAAAATAACCAATTTTAAATCCAAAATTATAAGATCAATCACTTCCAGCCAAACCGGATGGAACATCATCCGCATCTCCACAGACTCCGCGACTCGATGCAGTTTCAAACACGACAACGTCCAGTGCTGAAGCCTAAATGCTGGTCATGTACTATAGACGCGTTTACTCCTAGCACATCTGAGAGACTGACGTGCTTTTCAGTTTCTCAGCAAGTTCAGCACTGCGGCAAACAAAATCGAAAAAACAGCAAAATATTTTGATACTTAAAAGGGCAATGCCACACAAAAGCATATAGAGCCCACCTGTTTTATTTTACCATAATCATAAGCGAGTTTCATTTCGTTCATCTGCTCTGGTCAATTACGCGGGCGTAAGTTACGGAATTTCGCATCTTTTCCACAACGTCGGACTATCAAAAAGTACCGGTCAGTAGGTGGCAAAACAATGTGCGATCTAACATCAGTTCCACCCACTTGTTTGGCACTCGCATTGATGGCATATTTGGGCCCGCTAGAGTCCAATTACACTGGTGTCTCCCAGCAATGGCATGTGGTTTCCGCCACCAGGACTCCCAGTAAAGCTAGTCGTCGACTATGGGAACAAGTGTATATTAAATAAGCACGGTTCCATTCTATGAGGAAACTGTATAAAGTAGTTAAGAATGTTGAGTACAGCTTTCACATAGTAGGTAAAATATTACAAAATTTTCGTCTCATGCGTTACACCGAATAGTAAGCCGGCTGTTTGTCGAATGAGGACCAGCTTTTATGTACGTACACGTCTCTGGACACGAACTAAACGCTGCTTCCGACGCTCCTGGAATTTCCCTTCATATCTCTCCATATGCATGTTCATCACAGGTGTCTTTCAAGCCCAGTGATTTATTAAGTTGCATCCGTAATAATTTACACAGCCAATAATTTGCCTTTATATTTTTCTATCGCTTGGCTTCTTGTATGAATATATAGTCCATCATTGACCAGTAGATGAAGAAACATTCAGTTATCAAACGGTTTACAGTGGATTGCATTCTTTAAATTCAAACAAATAGGACCACTATTTCCCGTTCTTCGTCCGCTATGTGAAGGAGCCACATGACTTTATATACCGGGATAAATGTTTGAAATAAAGAAAACAGAGCCCTCATATCCCGCTTTTTGCATACAATTGTTAACTTTGCTAACGATAAGTTGGTGGTGTATATCCAAAGTTGATAAGTTGTATTTCACGCTTTGTGTGAATATTGGACACTCACTCTCCAAGAAGCATACATAAGATGGATCACATAAAGATTAAAAAGAGAAATTTTAACGACAGTGAAAGATGTGCGATTTGTTCAAAAGGCAATATATGTGTTATACACTGGGGATAGCCTCAAGCAGATATCGGCGTATTAAGCGCATAATCTGCGAAATGTAGGAAATAGAAAAGCGAAGATATGTTTACCGCGTTTCGCAGTGTTTTAGTTAAAACCAAATAATAGTGTAACGCACATTGACAATTGCAGTAATTACATGTTATGTAATTCATCCCTCTGCGAGAAGCGATAGAGGTAGCTAAACAGTTTTTATGCATTTATTACTGAAATGAAATTTTGTGTAGTAGACTCAGGTGCTTTGCCGAGCTACACTTTTCGAACGTTGCTTGCGATTTTCAGCCATTGCTACATGCTGTGGCGCACTGAGATCGATGCCGAGGCGGGAAGATATAATTAGCGAATGCAACCATGCTTGCCTGTCTTACATATCTCGACGTAGCTTCTTTATTCAGTGCCGCTGTAGAATTTGCTCGTTGAATGTTTATTCCGGCTATCATTTTACCTGTATTCGTATATGGGTGGCCGCCCCAAATCATGTTAATTGCACACCGACATATTAGGTTCTAACTTATCCGTTATATTTCTGTCTGAGAGTACAAATGCGGCATTTACACCCAGACCTAACAATTTATCGCGCCAATAAACTGGAACTGGTCAGAACGTAGTCATACTAAAGTTGCAGTTCACTGTGATAAAACTTGTCAATTTGGCAATGAACAACTTCGGTTCAACGTTTTGCGTATCACCTTCCGAATATTCTATCGATTACTAGCTTAACCTATGTGAATGTAAGCTCCCAGCTAAAATTCTATTGCCTTTCACTTGCGTACGTAGAACTATGGAGAGCTTCATATGTAGTTAGCCAAACAATCCATGTCTTATTTACCAGTTTGCCGGGTCTGTGATGACAGCTCATTATGTTTGATCCAATTTATGCATACTTTAACTGCCTTGATTATCTGGCGTTGTCGTTTGTCCGGTAGCTTTTTCACTCATATTCAGCCGCTTAGCTAATTTCGGTCGATAGAGCGCAGACGGAAGCTGTGCCACAACTAGCACAGGAAGAATATTATTGCCAATTATAAACATCTCATCCAAATGCAGACATGGACCTGCTATTCAGGCATTATTAACACAATATATTATAGACAGAAGACACATCATGATGTGAAAACCCGGCGGTATACATAAACATATATTAGGCGATGAATATATGCCGATTCGAGTATGAAGGCGGATCGCATAAAATGAAATAATACATCTTAGCCAATACTATATGTGTCGGTTTTACGATTGTAACTGTTAAAATAAGTTGCATTTTTATGCATCATCACTCAACAGATCCCATTCATCATTCCTATTACAGGAAGCACAGATATCTCACTTTCTAGTTCAGTCACTACCAAGGTACAGATATAACCGATTTCTAGGTAAAATCACATGGTGTTGGGTGGCAGAAATCACTAGTTCACATTTTCGGAATGATACCGCTTGAATTTTCAATGACTAGCTGATAGTTAAGTTGAACAATTACACTTATGTCTTTGATGAAAACGATATATTACATCAACTAAGATATATGCTCACTTATGTTGATACACATCGACCGCACCAATATTTTCTGGGACAGCAGGCCAGTCCAAATAAACTGTGGTAATGCAACCATCATTTTCTAGGAAAGTGACCGTCTTTTCTCCAGTCTGATAATATCTCCTTCCGGAAAAGTAGACAAATGGCTTACCTAAATGAAATTTGCTGAACTTATAATTGTATTTCAAATTGTACCGTTGTTATCGTACTGCAGCTCCAAAACATACTTAAAAGCAGTGCTCATGCAGATCAGTGTAAGGCACACAAAGAAAACGTAACCGGAGCTCATCGTCAAAATTCTAATTTCTGAAAGATAAAGGAGAGAAATATTGGGTACATGCAATTTACATGATGAAAATACAACTGGGTATGCACATCAAAACCTATCATTTCGTCGCCTTATGCGTGACATTGCGGGTCAAGTACACTTATAAAATTGTGTAAACACTGGAGTGACTACATCTTCCCACTTTATATATGTGTGGTCTTTCCCGATAAACGTTGACTATTGTGCCACGGGGCATAAAAAGGAGGTATATATGTGAGAAGATTATGAGCCAACTAAATACCACAGTACCTCCTCCGACACAGTCAAATGGCGGCTGAAGTTCATGTCATGCCTGTTATTTATAGTAGATACCTCACGGAATTCGGTCCTTAGTTTGTACGCCCAACGCTGCCTTAGCGACCTTAGATTTTGTTTATGCTAGTGGCCTCCACCTTCATTTTGTCAATAAGTAATAAATTAGGCTAGTATTAACAACGAACTCGATAGTGTTTTTGAGCAACAACGCAGCCGATCAACTCGGTACTAATTTCAAATTCATTCGTTGGGGTTTAGAACGAAATTTCGAATGGACGTGCTCGTGAGTTTGGTCAGTTTGACTCACAACACGTGGTTAAATTTTAGGCAGTCCAAAAACAATTCTCTGTAGAACTTTGGATTTAATATTATACTCAGCACGCTGAGCATTGAGTGGTCTACTTCATGTACAACGGTTTAAAGGTACAGCCTTGTTTTCGTGAAAATACTTCAGTTACCCGGCAGAGAGCCAAAAATTGTGACGATGGAACACTTTGTGGACGGTCAATAAATAATTAGCGAAAAAAGTCCACAGCGCTGTGTGATTTTTGTTTACCCATACTTCGTTCGTTACAACAATACTCTTCTTCCCTTGCCGCGCTATCCGGCCCCATTACCAATAAACCATGTCAAAGGCCAAACATAGTAGAAGAAACGTACTTATTTGCAAATTAGACTTAGCGTCTATCGCTCCTTTCACAGAAAGTGTTCCGTTACACACGGATCATGGGATTAATGCCGTTTGGATTTCCGAGTATAATATGGACTTTTATCGAGTAGATTTTGCATTTTGTACCAAGGGATTTCTTAACATAAATTTACCTGGGATGCTGAAGACCAACTTCAGGGGCGTGAAAGCAACAATTGGAGCCATGTGACATATTGTGAAGGGCGTTCTTAAATATTTTACATTTTAATATTTTTGCCAGGATGTAGGACGTGAGTGAAATGGGCACCTTAGCCCACCAATAATTGCAGAATCAACATTCCGTTGTGTTTAAGGCAATAAAACGTTGAGGTGCAAATAATGTTAGGAGATTGTCCCTTCCCTACCAACTACGACTGAAATCTTAATTATTGCCGTCAATCGCGGTGCGCAAAATGGAGCGTCTGATCTTCCAATACCCCTGACAAGCGCGCCAGCACCTAATAAAACGGGCAAACCACTTCCCTGATGGGCATGAGTTAAAGTTGACCATGCAGTACTGCCGGCTAGGATGTCAAGGAAGTGTTTTTTCCATCTGAGGATTGCAGCCATGGAGATCCTTTTCAGCGCAATTATCAGTACATTCAGCTTACCACTAATTAAAACACAACGTAATGGATCATGAAAGCGTATCTGAAAGGTGCCTTTCCGTAAATCTCACTCCGTGCTACAGCCAAACTAATCCTCGTCCCACCGTGAATTCCAAGTGTCCTCGTTAACAAACACAAAAACCACCCGTGAGCAATACCAGCTGTTGTCGTCACCTACATATAACGGAATTGCAGTTGCTTGTTAGTAAGGTAATGAGGCAGTAGTATACCAGTCTGGGAACCAAATGACATGTTTTGGAAGGATCGAAATAGTAAATATAAAAGTTATGAAGGGCTGGGATGCATAGCGTCAAACGGTATGACGCAGTGTATGAATCAAAACAGACTACACGTTTTTAGTTTATCAGATAATTGTGAATCTGTCCCGATTTCTTCAAAAGCGCTTGCCTTGAGGAACACCAAAAATATGAAAAGTAATAAGCCCGCGTGTTAAGGTAAATAGCAAGACTTATCAAATTCTGTAAAACCGACCGCTAGTTGAATTTGTCTACCTTGTCGGTCAAGAGTTGTGGTTGGACCTGGGAAGGTGCAAAGGCTAAGGGAAAGCGGATTCTTGAGTGATTGGGGCGGAAGATGCATCTGCACGTGTGAGTAATCCTACGGATGCATCAGATGAAGTTGGGTGTTCGCGACCTTGAAACGGTCAGTTAATACCGCTGCTCGATAACTACTCTGGTATAGGATAAAGTGCTTCGAAGCGCGCTGAATAACCTTGAGGGTACCTGTGTAGGGAGTTTAAAGAGTATGACGCACTACGTCCGTGCGAACGAAAACGTGACTTCAGATTGAGGGTCGCTGTGAGTTTCCACGTCCCACGAAGATGAATCGGACGTAGAGAAAGCTTATATTGAAAAAGGAGGACAAGGAATTAGACGGTAGCATACGCAGTTCTAGATGAAGGAACATTGACTATCCTTGTAGCCTATGTGCTGCACAGCAGATCAGATTGATTGGTACGCGTTACAGGTCCGCATTGCTATAGTTGTGAATACCTAGGGACACAATTAACGGTTTGTTTCCAGTCAGGTATTAGGTTGCACAGTGCGAGAACTCAATCTGTCTATATAAGTGTTTGACTAAACTATTAGCTGCATTATTATAGCCCAAACGACTACCTATGGACACCGGTTAGACCTTAAGTTCCTCGTTAGTAAACGCGAGATCCAGGAGAGCTGGTCCGAGTAGTTCCTCTAATTCCACTTTGGCATGTTCGTGGAGACAGTCTAGGGTATGGAGATTGAGGTCACCAAACAGAAGAAAGTGAATGTGTGACCTGGCTAGAACAGCCGTCATAGCGAAGGCAAAGTGATAGTCTTCTTCAGAAGTAGACGACGAAGGGCGTCACATGACATCCACTGAACCTGTCTCAGGTGAAGTAGGCAGAAAAGTGCATTAGCGATCGGAACCCCCGAGTCGTCGATGAGGTGTAACTTAACGAGGTGAAGAAATCTCCGAAGTAAGTGATCCGAAGGACACGGACTACTAGTTCGAGAAAGTGAATTGTGCGGCAGAATGGATAGTAATGTCCATAAACGGATACCCAAATGCTTCGCTGTGCTCTCTAACACGCTTTCGTACAGTTCATTTCTGTTGCTTTAGGGAATCATAGCGGTGCGACAAAGGATGCTATTGAGTAGTGCGTCAGTGTTCCGACTCGTTTTATTGATCAATTATACAAACAACTAATGAGGTCACGCTCATGATTGCAGATTGATATTTGAGGTGAATACTGTCCACACCATAGAGTGTTTGGAAATACGCCAGCAGCTCTCCAGCTGATGTGGTGGCGGCTATAGTACCTCCAAGGAAGAGAGACAAAAGGCGGTGTAGAGGAGTAGAATGAACAAGCGTTCTGCTTCGATATATTTCGACCCATGCAGCGCTCTCTGGTGAGAGTTCTTCACCTCGTGGGCTACCTACTGTCACTGACAGTGTAAGATAGGTGGTGCGATATCCCAGTTATTTTGCAACTTATATAGCACAGCCAACGTCCCCCTGACTCAGGGGTTGAAGCTGCAGGCTAGTTGGCGTCTGCCTCTAACGGTCATGGGTTTGACCCTACTTAGAGGACCGAGGGAATGCGCACCACTGACGAGCGTCAATAGGGCGAAAAACGTCTGTTGAATTTCTGAACTAGGCTCTGTATGTAGCTTGTGGACTATTGGAATGTAAACCTTGACATAAACGACAAATAACATCCTGCAACTTACCAGCAATATAAGACGACAATCGTTCCAAAATATACTCTTGTTTAACACTACCGGCACATTCTGGGCGGCACCAATGCGCGCCTGAACGAAAGCCGAGGCATTCTCTCTACAGATAAACCCTCCAGACAACATGACCGCAAGCGTTCATACGACCTTCCGCGCGCACAGCGTCACACTGGTTACTCTTCCCTTTAGTGTGGCTGCAGATTGGACCCCAAAGTAGACCACGTGATACACAGTGAACCATGTGGTCCAAATCACACCAGAAGTTTACTCGGCTACGAATGCGGATGAACAGGCAAACTACTAACTGAAGCGATCGATAGTACTGGTTCACCAGCCGTTTCTTTGTCGTTCTTTGTCCTTTAACAGCCTGGCGTTGGGTACGATGGTCTCGTATTGAGGCATTGTGGCAGCTCGTAATACACAGCGCACCAGCTGAGGCGAAATTAGCAACGCGTGCATGTGCGGTTGGCCTATCGCACACGCCATGGGATAGACGGCGCGCACTCAGCGTAGGCAAGAAAGGGCACGCGCTATTTTAGCAACACCTGCTCTGCAGTTGGCTAACACAGCCGTAGAGAATGATAGGAGGCCTTTGGAGAAACAAGGTTTTCAGGGGGCGCAGTAGTTATGTTGTGAAGTGGGTTGCCATAAGATGAGGAACAATATTAATCAAAACGTGTTCTGACTTTCCGCGCCCTACCGAGAGCTCGGTAACTCAGTGGTAGTGCAGCGGACCGGAAATTCGTGGGACCGGGGTTCGAGTTCCCGTCGAGGCCGATTATTCTGAGCAGTTTAATCGTGGCTGCTACTTTCTACGAATATTACCGTTTTTCATGGCGTTAGCTTCGGTTGCAATGCGCGATTGCTCTGTGTGCTGTGCGCGCTTTGGTCCCCTAGCTCGAGCCTCAACGACGTCGCTTCTTTATGGATATGTAACAGGGAAGCTTCTGCGTTTCAAATCGCTATCCGGCTTACCACTGACGGCTACTCGCTAAATATACGGTTTGTGATATATAATCTAACGCTTGCATTAACCGTTGCTGAAGGGGTTTGCTAGACATATTAATCTAAGATGACAAGTGACGATAACGAAACCTTTAGCAGCGTTCAATTATGGTCGAAAACCCG